TCACATTTGTGCAAGCCTTTACCTTCGAGCAGATCGAAATGCTTTTAATTTTCAATTAAAAATATTTCCAGAAAAAAATATTTTCTTAATTCAATTTTCCACTTTTATTTTGTTGCCTAGTATTTTGAGAAATTCCCTTAATAAATAATTCCATTCCTAATTTTCTAAATAAACTTAATAATTATTTTAGTAAAATTTTATTTGAAGTGTTCAAAAAAATCTAAATCGTTTTTTTCTAAAGAATTTTAATTAAAGACCTGCGGCAGGATTAGAGAAACCAGACTGAGGGTTTGACTTTTTTTTGTTTTTTCCTTTAGTAGCATCACAACAATGAATAAAAACAATGGTGACTATTACAAGGGCAAAAAATAATTTTGGCATTTTTTGGGAGTTTTACAAGTTTTTTTAGTTGAATGAAGAATTTTGAATGTTTCCCCTCTTTTTCAATTAGTCTTTTATATCAATCTAAATCAACAGCAATCATCACCCTTCGAGGAGGGGCGGAAATATTAATTGCCATGAGATTTTTTAAAGGTAATTTCTTTAACAATGATTTTCCATTGTTTTATATAAAATTACATTGTTTAATGGAAAATTTTTCAATGTGACCGTCTAGGCTTTATTCTATTGTTTGGCAAAAAATTTTATAGCCTGGTCAAGCTGATCGAACGAAAAAAAAATTTTTGTATAAAAAAATACAAAAAAATATTTTAATAATAAATTATAAAAAAATTTTTAATAAAAAATCATAAAAAAATTTTTTTTAATAAAAAAATTTAAAAAATTAATTAAAAAATTCTACCTTATAAGAGAACTCTATGCCAAAGTTTGAGTTTTTTACTTTTTTCATGAAATTTTAATGAAAGCTAGGGAAATGTATATAATCGTTAACTTTGTCAATTTACTTTGTCAATTAACTTTGTCAATTTCTGACCAAACCGTGTTTGAACAACCTCCCCAATCATTGGAACAATGGGGGATATTGTTTCCCGTTGTAGGACCAATATCCCCCATTGTCGAAACAAGATTTCCCAGAATGTGGATGTTGGACAGCAGTGGATTGGTCTGTTCCCAACTTGGGACTTGGTGGAGTTAACGTCGATTTTGAAGATTAAGGTGGATATTGGGGATTCGTGCGATTTGGCTGGATTTTTCGTGTGATTCTACAGGGAGATTTTATCGTGGGATTCTGCAGGATTAAGAGAAAAATCGCTAATTTATAAGGATTAAGGGATAGGTCTATGAAGAATAAATTCGCTTAATTAGCACCGCAGGCGAAAATTTTTCAATTTTGAATGTTTAAAGAGCAAAATCGACCAAAAAGTCAGAATATTTTATTAAATTTACTCAAAATTTGATCCGGGCCGGGCCCGGGTTTTTCATATGCTATCCGGGCCGGGATTCCGGGCTAAAAACAAAAACCCGGAAAAACCGAATTTTATTAAAATACCCGGTTTCCGGGCCCGGCCCGGGTTCGAGCTCTACTTAGGATAGTCTTTTTTGTTTAAAAGCTTCCATCCGTTACCATCATCACAACAATGAATAAAAACAATGGTGACCATTACATGGGCAAAATAAAATTTTAACATTTTTTAGAAAGTTTTAAGTTTTTTTTCATTCCTCCTTATTTTCTGTAGGCATTTGTATAAAATTAAACAGAAATATACAATTTTATATTTCCGTTGAAAAGAGCAACCAATAATTTATTTAATTAATTAGAAAGGGCATCCTTTGTCTTAAATCTTTCCATTGTTGACATGGGGTGAAGGAATATTTTCATTGTTTAAAAAATTTTAAGAGAAAATTTTAATTTCTATTGTTTGTGAGATTCAATTGACTGATCAAAAATTATTGTATAAAATTTAACTGTCTCGTGGGTATGAAAATGTAAGAAAAATTATATTAAAGTTAATTGTCTAATTTTTCAAATTTATTAAAATTTAAAAATAATTAATTATTAAAATTTATTAAAAGTTAAATTATTTCTCGTTGAATTTTTGGAAGTAAATATCGCAATTAACTTTATTTGTTAATAGTTTTAAAAGAGGCTGTCAAGGCTTATTTTCAGGTTCTAAAAAATTTTAAGAGAGAATTTTACTTTCTACATATTGTTTGTGAGAAAAAGCTAAAAATATTAGGTTGCGTCATAATTAGTGGCTGTTTTTTTAGAATTTTAGGGGTGTTGTTATGCAATTTTTCTTTTTCATTATTAATAATCAAATAGATCTGAATCTACTCTTCATTCTAATACCAGGTATAGCTATATACGGGTGATATTCTTAAAGTTATGATTTTTTGAACTTCACTACCTCGTAGTGAAATTCACAACATTTACACCAAAAATTTTAAATTACCAAAATTGCAACAAAAGAATCAGATAATCTTAATGATCCAGTCAATGGGGTCGTTGTCTATGCTAGACAATTTTTAAATTAATTGTTTAAAAATAAATTTATTTTTTAGTAGGAATGACAAAACACGGAACAGACAAAACGACCAAAATATGGTCCAGAAAAAAAATAAATCTTGTCTTAAAATCAGAGATTATTAAAAATCAGAACATTTTGAAAATCAAAATATTTTTACAAATTTGGTCATTTTTGGTATGACATTATTTTGCCTTGCCCTTGTTTTGTACGGTCCGTATTTTGGTCGTTCCATGTTTTGTCCGGCCTTTTAGCCAAACACGCTAATATGGGCTGGTTTTCTGTGATGATAATTAAACTATGTTTAGTCTAGTTCAATATTCCCAGTTCTCTTTTCTAAGGATTTTTATAATTTCTAATATTCCAATTAATATATTTTATTCAATTAAAGATAAGAGAGTTTATATTAAGGGTAATGTTAAAATTATAAATTAAAGGTATAAATTGAGGTGCATTTGATTAACTTGGGTTCCTTATATAGGGTTGTGCATGTGAATTACAATATTGGAATGAAGGTACAATAGTCGGGATTTATTTAATAAATTAAACAGTGTTGGTAAACAAATATATATGTAGTTTGGGGAACAAATATATATGTAGTTTGGGAAATTACATTAAGATAAGAATGTTTATGTCGGGAATGCCAATCGAGAATGGCGTAAACAAAAATATATTGGGAAAATATTTAAATTATAGATAAGGATGGTTTGTCGGGAGTTTATCAAGAATACTCCAATAATGTAATTATTTTTTTTTATTTCTGATGGGCTTTGAAAAGACAACAACGCTTTTATCTGTTCCGTTTCATTTTTGTTTTATCAACAATTATTGAAAAAAACATGTTATGATAGGCATAATAATATTTTTTCAAATTATACCCAAGATTTTGTTTATGCTTACGAAAAATTTTTAGAGAATAATAAAATAAATATATACATATATCGAATGTCGATAATCGTTCAGAATTGTATATAAAACATTTAATAGTCGCTATTTTCTCTTCTTAAAAATATATTTCTTAATTTAAGGTTGCTGAATAAAGTTTAATATTTTAGAAATGAATTAGGGCTTTCTTCATTTTTTTTGAATTCCTAAACTTTCAAAAACTATTTTTTTCCAAAATTAATAATTTTCCTTATATGCGACTTTTAAATATTTTACTTTTTTGGAGGTTTTAATTTAAAAAAATTTTCCTTCAAATCGTTTTCATAGAAAATAATTTTGTTTTCACTCAAGTTTACTCTTTCAAAAACTTTCTTTTGAAATTCCTCCTTTAATTTGAATATGACCAATTTTTACCATATTGTTGTTGCATAAATTTTTCTTCATCCTAAACATTAAAATATATTTTTAATTTTAATATAATTGAAATTAACAATGTAAACTTTTGGTCAAAGAATCCAATAACAATTTATACCCATTTTTAAAATTCCAAAACAGATTTTGCTGATACCGAGGTCGGGGTTTACGGAACTTTCGTCTCCAGCGGAATTGTTCCGTCAACGGGAGAAGTTGTTCCGCCAATGGGGGAGGTGTTCTGGAGACAAAAATTCCTAGCGGACTATTCCAAGCGGACTATTAATTCCTTTCACTGGACTCAAACTAAACCAGAGTTGAACAACTTTCCACCGATTGGGAAAGTTGTCTCAAAAACAGTCAAGGTTCTTATTTTAACAATAATAAGTTGTTTCGAGGGCACGAGGAATATGGAAATTGATTAATATACAGAGTTTTTGCTCAATGAAATTTTTTAAAAATACCGATTTAACAATCCCGAGTCGATACCGGGATCGGTGGGTTTTGGTATTTCTGAATTTTAGAATTTTTCCTTCAAAAATTTCAGAAACTTTCATAAAAATATTTCTGAAATTATAGTCGATAGATAACGAAAAATTGGGTATTTTTATGAAAAACAAGATTTTTAGCGATATTTTCTGAAATTCTTGATCAAAAATTCTGAAATTTATGGAGAACTTAGATAAAGTTATGAGTTATTATTGCAAAATTTTATCTTTTCTGATAAATAAATCAGTGTTTTATAAGCTCGCGCCAAAACGGCCCAGAACCGGATAGGCCTCTGAATACCGATCTCTAATTTAAACATACCGTTGTATCATCGCCACGAGCTAAAAATTTTTTTAGATTAATTTTATAAAACTTTTAATCAACAAACTATAGTAATTGTCATTACGAATCTGTTCAGTTCTTGATTGACCTTGTTCTAAATAAAAAAGTAATTGTTAAATAATTTAATAAAACTTTAATTTACAAATCACTTTCAAAATGTTCATTATATTAGAGGGGCTTTCAGATGAAAGGAAAGCTGAGGAAGGAAGTTAGACCCTTCTGTACACACATGTAAGGAAAAACTCTAAACCTTGGAAAAAACCTTGGAAATAAATTTATTCCCTAATTTAATAATTTCCACTTCTATTTTTTGCCTAGTATTTTGAGAAATTCCCTTACTAAATAACTCCTTTCCTAATGTTCTAGATAAAATTAATTATATTTGTAAAATTTTATTTAAACTGTTTAAATTAATCTAAATCATTTATATTTTTTAAAGAATTTTAATTAAAGACCTGCGGCAGGATTAGAGAAAGTAGACTGAGGCTTTGATTTTTGTTTGTTTTTACCTTTACCAGCATCACAACAATGAATAAAAACAATTGTGACTATTACAAGGGCAAAAAAGAATTTTGACATTTTTTGGGAGTTTTTAGGAGTTTCTTTAGTTGAATTTGATTTTTGAATGTTTCCCCTCATATTCAATTAGGCTTTTATATTAATCTAAATCAACAGAGTAGACGGCAGGTATAGTGAATGCCATATGATTTTTGAATGTACTTTCCTTTAAAAATTTTTTCCATTGTTCTTTATTAAATTCTATTGTTTAAATTATTAAATTCTATTGATCCCTACATCCAGAGATCAAAAAATAATTACCCCCTTAAAAACAGTTATAATTAGCCTGTTTAAAAAAGCTCAAATAATCTATCTAATTTTAATTTTAATATTTTTCTTTATCTAAAAACATTATTTTATGTATTTTAAATTCAAATGCTTGTGACAAATTTCTTTAAATCTATCGAAAATTTTTGAAAAGATTTCAAGATGAACTTTGTACCTTATTTACAGGGATTTGCCCTATTTTTGAACTTTTAGTCTATATTTCGCTATTTTCTATAATTGCTATAAATAAGTACAATTTGAAGATCCTAGATTTGTTCATATTAAGAAAATATTTTAATTCCCCTGTTAATATTTTATCCAAATGCTTGTGAATCAGTTTTTTGATAGCACATCAGACTAGCAAGGGATATAGCAAACAAAATGTCATTTAAAGGGCAGAACGCCAACCAATTAAAAAAAAGTTGAATTTCTATACTTTTTATGTAAATTTTACAAATCCGAGGTTAAAAAATCATATACATATCTCGAATAACTCAATTTGTAAATGATAAGATCGCATATTACAGAAAAAGCTTTTATCTTTATTATTGCAGAAAATCTTAACAAAAATAAATATAATTTTAAAAACTGCATACACAAAGTTTCAATTCTTAGTAAATCAACAATTGATAAATTCTTGAGTGAAAGAAGTAAGAAGTGTGTAATAAAAACTGAGTTGTTCTATATTAAATTCTATTGTGCAAAGGCAGATCACTTCTTCATTCATTCAACAGAGTTGCCGGCAGGCTTATCCATCGTGCAAAGGGAGAGACGTCTCCCCTTATATTCCCCCACTGCGATTCACCTATTTCTATACTCTGCGGAGTTCACACATGATTGCAAGCATGCGCGACTCTGCCTAAAACAACAACTAAAGAACGAGGCACTGGGGAACGGGACCAACCGCTTTACTTTATTATTTGCCGACATTTATGCAAGCCTTTACCTTTGACCAGATTGAAACTCTTGTGATTTTCAATTAAAAATACTATTTCCAGAAAATAATATTTTTTCACTAATTTAATTTTCCACTCCTATTTCTTGCCTAGTATTTTGAGAAATTCCCTTAATAAATAATTCCTTTCCTAATGTTCAAATTTATATAAGTTCTAGTAAAATTTTATTTAAACTGTTTAAATTAATCTAAATCCTTTATATATTTAAAAAATTTTAATTAAAGACCTGCGGCAGGATTAGAGAAAGTAGACTGAGGCTTTGATTTTTGTTTGTTTTTACCTTTACCAGCATCACAACAATGAATAAAAACAATGGTGACTATTACAAGGGCAAAAAAGAATTTTGACATTTTTTGGGAGTTTTTAGGAGTTTTTTAGTTGAATTTGAATTTTTGAATGTCTCCCCTCATATTCAATTAAGCTTTTATATTAATCTAAATCAACAGAGTAGACGGCAGGTTTAGTAAATGCCTTATGATTTTTGAATGTACTTTCCTTTAAAAAATTTTTCCATTGTTCTATATTAAATTCTATTGTTTAAAATAAAAATTTTTTAACGAGACAGTCTATTCTTTATTCATTGTTTGGCAAAAAATTTTATTTCCTGGTTTTTGGTTTAATTTTAATGGGGAATTTACTTATAATAGTCGATAAATGTACTCGTAGCATTGGGTCTAATATTGAAGTGTCTAGTGTCTTTTTAAAATTTATCCCCATATAATTTAATTTTTTTAATTATATTTAAATAAATTTAATAAAATAATTAATAAAAAATAATTATATTTAAAAAGCGGATTTTTAAATTAATTAAAACTTTAATAAAGTTAAGTAAATGTTTGTCACAAATTCTATTTCTTAAAATTTATCAAAAATTTTTGAAATTATTTCAGGGTGAACTTAATATCTTAACCAAATGCTTGTGAATCAGTTTTTTGTTATTAATAGCACCGCAGATTAGCAAAGGCCATAGCAAACAAAATGTCATTTAAGGTGGCAGAACGCCAACCAATTAAAAAAAAGTTCAATTTACACTTTTTCTCTAATTTGTTTTTGATTTTCTATACTTTTTATGCAAATTTTACAAATCCGATGTTATTTGATTAAAAATCATATATCTCGAATAACTCAATTTTTAAACGATAAGCTCGCATATTACAGAAAAGGCTTTTGTTTTTATTTTTGCAGAAAATCTTAACAAAAATAAATATAATTTTAAAAACTGCATACACAGAGTTTCAATTCCTAGTAAATCGACAATTAATAAATTATTGAGTGAAAAAAGTAAGAAGGGAGATGACGCAAAACTGAGCAAAAAAAAAGAAAAATTTATAGAATAGTTGAAAGTGTTAAGAGGGCTCAGAAAGCAGCTGGAGCAAGTAAACTGAGCAGAAAGTCAAGAGGTTCTAAATTTACGAGTTTCTATCATTAAATTAACTCATTATTTATATCAATTTTAGTCATTACTTCAGCTGAATTAAATAGTGAGGAAAAGGTAAAATAATCTTCAGTACAAATATTTCATCTTCCATTGAACTGCAGTACAAACATTTGTTCCATTGAAAGTTGAGTCAGTTCAAAGTGAGCATCGAATAATACAAGAATGCTCGTGTTCGAAGAACCATCACCCACATTATTGATTGTGAATGTCGCAGAATTAATACAAATAAGAATTCAGTCTTTGGTTAAAAGTGGTAAATTCAAGGTTATCGTTAATTTCAGTTTATTATTTAGGTTTGTTAGTTACTAGGGAAGAATTTTGTGGAAAAATTGTGTTGGTGATTGCTGGTTACAAGGCTTTTTGATCTGAGACACTTCAAATGCAAGCCGCCCAAGCAATTTCACAATTTTAGCACTGTATAGATTTGAAGACAACAGAGGCGAGCTGGATAGCAGATTAGGCCAGGTTTTGGACCAAATAAAAGGAATAAAACAAATTAAGAAACAACAGCGGAAATTCATCAAACGTAAAAAATAATCTTATCTAGAACTGATATCAAAATGATAAAAAATATTTTTCAAGTCTCAGTTGATCAATTTCGATGCCCATCTATCTCACGGCTTATCACTCTCTCGATTGATTACATTTGCGGAAAATTTATTACCGTGAGAGTGATCAACATTGAAAATGGTCATCAGTAGGGATCAGATTTTCAGGTTAAAAATACCGTAAATTAGGTACCTAAATAGTTTGTAAAAAATGCCAAAATAGGTGACAAGAATGGAAAATAGGAAAAAATTTTATTATATTAGAAAAATTTTATTATATTATATATAAAAATTTTATTATATTATACAAAAAAATAAAAATCTTCTATTTTTTATTTTTAATATTTATGCTAAGTTGAAAAATGTAAAAGCAAATAAGAAGTTAAAAAAATTTTTTGATAAAATGAAATTTAAAAAAGTTCAAAGAATACCCTATTTCTCGATTAATTCTCTGGGGAATTATTTTTTCTGCCCATCCGTGCATGGATTTGAGGAAGGAAAATTACTGTTCCAACCCATTCATAAATTTTTGTTTAACGACCAATTTTATTGTTTTGGGGTGGGGAATTATTTGAGGGACGGAAAAATTAATCGAGAAAATACGTGATATCTTGAAAATTGTTGGTATTTAATATTGGTAGTACGGTACGGAATAGGGGAGTTATGGAAGAAAAGGCTTTGCTTGTATTATGCTTGTTTGTTACGAGTCCAACTTTAAAAATAATGATTGAACGAGGAAACACCTGTCTTTCAATCTATGAAAACACCAAATAATCTGGATAAAGTTTAATATTTTAGAAATGAATTAGGGCTTTTTTAATTTTTTTGAATTTCCAAACCTACAAAAACTATTTTCTCCAAACTTAATAATTTTCCTTATATGCGACTTTTAAATCTTTTACTTTTTTGGAGGTTTTAACTTAAAAAAATGTTTTTTCAAATCGTTTTCATAGAAAATAATTTTGTTTTCACTCAAGTTTACTCTTTCAAACATATTCTTCTCAAATTCTTTCTTTAATTCGAATTCACCAATTTTTACCATATTGTTGTTGCATAAATTTTTCTTCATCCTAAACATTCAAATTTATTTTTAATTTTAAAATTAATATAAATTGAAATTAACAATTTAGACTTTTGATCAAAGAATCCAACAACAGATTTATACCCATTTTTAAAATACCAAAACAGAGTTTGCTGATACCGATACCGAGGTCGGGGTGTACGGAACTTTCGTCTCCAACATTTTAGGAATTTTCGTCTCCAGCGGAATTGTTCCGTCAACGGGAGAAGTTGTTCCGCCAATGGGGGAGGTGTTCTGGAGACAAAAATTCCTAGCGGACTATTAATTCCTTTCACTGGACTCATAAACTAGAACAGAGTTGAACAACTTTCCAACGATTGGGAAAGTTGTCTCAAAAACAGTCAAGGTTCTTATTTTAACAATAATAAGTTGTTTCAAGGACACGAGGAATATGGAAATTGATTAATATCCAGAGTTTTTGCTCAATGAAATTTTTTAAAAATACCGATTTAACAATCCCGAGTCGATACCGGGATCGGTGGGTTTGGGTAGTTCTGAATTTTAGAATTTTTCCTTCAAAAATTTCAGAAACTTTCATAAAAATATTTCTGAAATTATAGTCGATAGATATCGAAAAATTAGGTATTTTTTAGAAAAACAAGATTTTTAGCGATATTTTCAAAAATTCTTGATCAAAAATTCTGAAATTTATAGAGAACTTAGATAAAGTTATGAGTTATTATTGCAAAATTTTATCTTTTCTGATAAATAAATCAGTGTTTTATAAGCTCACGCCAAAACGGCCCAGACCCGGATAGGCCTCTGAATACCGATCTCTAATTTAAACATAC